CAATGGCAAGGCGCAGAGATTCATTATCTTCAGTGGACGCTCCATTTCTGGCACAAAAGACCTGTAAAACATGGTCGATGTATGAGGTGCCTTGGTGACCCGACAACTTCAGCCTGTCAAACATAATAATGGAGCAGTATGTTTAAAAAAATCCAGCTCAAGATGCTGTAGATTCCCGTCAGTGACACTTTCGGTCCGCTTGTAAAACGCAGTTCTATTAATCTGTGCTCGATTACTCTGAAACCAGAACCGATGAAAGTCCCAAAAAACTGAATTGTAGGACTGAAACTGAAATTAATTGAGAGCTTCATTTTTAAAGGATAAAATACAGTTTCAAAACAAATGAATTCATTTTCAAAGTATAAAATTCAATTTCAATTTAGTTCTGATCATTTTCAAACCAATACATTGAATTTCAAATTAGGCTAATTCAGACCTTCCCAAAGTGTGGGGGCCGCCCCCTAGGGGGGGTGCAGAGCCATTGCAGGGGCGGTGCGGTATGAAAAGGGGGGGGAAACAACACTTGGACACTGCTAGCACGGGCGGCCACACAAACGCAAAGCAGGAGATGAAGCATCGCTGAATATGTTTCCAAACCAACTTCATTCTGAGCCAAAGACTAGAAAATATGGTGACGCAAATCTTCCCTTTAGCTTCACCTGCACAGGTGCTGAGGTAGGTCTCCCTGCAGGATTGGTTTTCCCTGAGTCAGGAGCAGTGCTGGGCTGTTTAAATCAGGACGAACAGGATCCCACATTCTTGATTTTTAGTTCACAAACACTTGTTGTAATGACTAACTGCTCCTGACATGTTGGAGACGTTTGCTCTTTATACAGTAAAGTTACAGGATACAAATAACATCAGGCTGATCCTGCAGCGATTTGTCCCCTGGTTCAAATCACAGACAAACAGGATCCCACAGTTATTTATGTTTTTGAACCCATTTTGCACAGAGAGACATTTTTGAAAAATGTATTGATAGCAATGTTAAATATTATTACACAGGAAAAAAACAACTACAGTAAAATAATCACACTGTGACGCCTCTGCCTTTGTAAATGGAGGGACAGTAACGCGTGTAAAACCTGCAGACAGTCAGATTAACAGTATTTTGTCTCTATCATTCTGCAATTCATCTCATGTCAACAATAACGTGGCCACAGCGTGGCGTGGAAAAAGCACATACCTTTAACGTGACGAACTCTGTATTCCTCGTCCACACGTAAACGCAAAAAAGGAGTTTTAAAAAATCTCAGTTTTTGGTGATTCGAAACGCCGTTTACGTGGACGAAACAGCTGCGTTTTCACAAATACCCGTGTAGGTGCAGACGCAGCGTAAAAGAGTTA